GGTTGTCAAGTGCACCAGGTCCAGCAGCACCGACGCCATGGCACTGCGGCGGCCCGGGACGGGGAGTCCGCGGAGCGGCGGTTGGGGTGTGGTGGGACGATGGCGCCGGCCCGGCCGTCACGGAGCGCTCGGGGCGCCCGCACTGCCCGGGGCACGAGGTGGGGAGAGCCGGGCCCGGCGGAGCATCCTCGGTCCCGTCGGGAGGGGCAGTGCCACGGTCAGCCCCGAGCCGTGGTGCCCGACACAGCGGTGACTGAGGGGACACCCGCACCAGGCTGCTGGTTGAGGCCTCCCAACCTCTGACTCTCTCGGTGACCGGGCCGAGAAGCGCTCCGCTCCAGGTTCAGAGTGTTGGCTCTGGAATGAGTCCGTTCCCATAAACAGCATCCCCAGATCAGGGATGAGGTGAGGCTGTGCCGGCCGGGGGCCGTGTTCACCCCGGAGCAGTGCAGGTCAGCTCCGGCTTTGGAGCTGTAGGCTGGAGCTCGGTTTTCTGCCCCAAAGTGGAGTTCCCGAGTGCTCCAGCGCCCGTGGTTTTCAGGTCACGCTCCCTGGATTGCTGTGCGTCTAATTCTGCAGGAGGGATCGCACGGGTCTGACAGCAGCACGTAATGTTTACAAGAAAAATGTGCAGCAAAATTTAAAGTTGATAAATGCTGGACTTGTCAGATGATACCGAAATTGGCTCGAATAAACTTTCTAACACAATTTGAAGTATTAGAAAACAGGCATTATTTACTCGTGCAGGACACAGCAGATCTTTATTTATTCTGTGTCTGGAGTGGGACTTTACAACAGTTTTTATTCATTATAACTATAAGCATTCATTAAAACGTGTTTCTTATTTAATATATAAACATTATTTTCCTGGAACTAATTTACATGCATTCACTGCTTACTAGAAGTTTATGGTTCCGGAGGTTTATTAAGAGGGCTGTCTGGTGATTGTATTCACTGAATGCTTCAATATTAAAGGTGACTTTTCCTTGAAGTTTGTGTATGTGCTGTTGTTTCTTGTTATATAAAATGTGCTAAAAACCCACTGTAGGCCTTATCTGTTTCTTCACTGGTTCCAGCTGTGTTTATCATCCTGCGTGCATACCTTTGCATTCTTTTATCTTATATTCCAGTTAGTCTTTCAGCAACTTCAGGGGAGCTGAAAATTTTTATTCTTTAAATTACTTGTCACAGGTTATTGGAGATGGAGCTTCTCCAGAACATATATCTACCTACCATACACAGTTATATACAAAACCAGGAAAACTTTTGTACTTCTCATCTTGTCAGAACTAAATAACGTTACCCAAGGAATATACATGTGTACTGATTACACATGGACAGAATCTTTGCTCCTTTGTGCCTGCATATGGCCAAGACTGCTCAGATTGTCAAATCCACACCATGAATTCAGAGTTTTACCTAGAACATAATTGCTTTAACACGAGGGGTTATTTTCAGGCATAGCATTTCTTCATTTTAATTTTTAATGAAAGTTGTATTTCACTACGATTAATAGTTCTTAAAATGGCTTGAAACAGGTGTATTGCATTAATTCCACATACCCTTGGGGGTATTTTAAAACAGTGTTACTAATTCTTAATTTGCAAATCATGTTGCCCTTTGGTAATTCAGTCATAACATGAAGCAGTTATGTAGAAGAAGTACATAAAATACCAAAACTCAGAAATAAATAGCCCTCAATACAAAATTCTGATGTAGAAACTATGTTTCTGTTAATACAACTCAAAATAAGCTTTTCAAAGACAATAAGTTAAAAGAAGAAAAGAAAATCTGGGTTTACCTTAAATAATAACTGTTCCAAGATTTTCTTAATAAACTGAGTTGTTGACTTTGTGGCAGCATTATGTGCTTGAAAAAAGTTGAGAAATCATTATTCAAGATGAAGTTATTTAAAATTAGGTCTGAGGTGTAGATGTGTCAGTCATTTCAGATAATCTGAGAATAACAGAAAGATCTAAGGTAGGAGTTGTATATCTGCACAACTCTGTGGATGCTGATCCAAAAAAACTATAAACTATAAAATTGTCAGTAATGTGCCTTGTACCTTTCTAGAGTAATCAAGAAGCTGAACTAACTTCAAACTATTAAGCAGGTCCATGATCCCATTTTATTCAACTGTTTTTACATTTAAGAAGACATTTAGTATTTAGCTTTAGTCAGCATTTTACCTTTTTAAAAATATGTCCTGCTTTGCATTGCAAGCAGTCAGATAAACAGGATGATTTCCCATCCATCCCCTGCCCTGTCTCTCTGCATCTGTTCACTGCCCACGTGAGCAGCAGCTTAGGGAAGGAACAGACTTCACAGGGCTGGGCAGCCCCATCCAAGGTCATGAAAAAAGATTAATCTGTGAGCAGTATGAGTTCTTCCTAGTCTGTTTAAATTATTTAGTTCTACATCAAGTTTCAGTTTTGGCAAGTTGCAGCAGAATGCAAGACCCCTTCAAATTACAGTTCAGGAAATGAATTCAAAACATCTGAGTCTCCAGTACAGATTGCTAGTTCTACAGCAGACAGGCAGTGGTTTTACACTGCTGCACCTCAAATGGGAATGCACATGTTGATTCCTATTGAAAATAACACAGAGAAGGAAAATAATCTTCCTGTAGTAACCAAGGACAAAAAGCCAAAACATTTTTTTTCCCCAAAATGATGTTGGATTATCACAGTTGAGTTTTTGAACAGAATGATGCCTGAAATTTTGTGGGTTTGCAAGGAATGCAGAGAGTGCATTCTTGCTGGTTATTTCCACAACCTGCTGTGCTAACAGGGAGAAGTTCATTTTATAGATAAGTGATGTTTTAAGCTCTATGTTACAGTAAAGGAGATTACACCATTGAGGAACCTGTGTGGATGGGGACAATCCCTGAGAGACATGTGAAGGAAGGCTGGGGGTGCACAGAGTTGCCAGGCACAACAGGTTGCAGGAGGCTCCATTGTTTGCCCAAGGAAGGGAATGTGAGCACAGTGTGTCAACCCATAGAGCTAAGGAGAGAAGCCAGAGGAATTAAACAATTTGCAACTGAGCAGGACCAGGTCCTGAGTAACCTGGTGTAACATCAGCGTTGGCCTTGCTTTGGGCAGGGGCTTGGTCTAGAGGCCTCCAGAGGTCCCTTCTGGCCACATGACTGTGATTTGTACTTCAGCCCTTACGTAAGCTGCGTGTTTGAGACTCCATTCTGCCACCAGGGACATCAAGATTAAGACAAGGCAAAAATTATCAAGATTTTAAAACAAAATTGAAAAAAGATGGCTATGATTTTAGGTACTCTTTGCATTTGGTTGTCTTTGCTGAGCACTTGTAGTGCTAAAGGGCTGTGAGCTTTACTGTTGAGTAGCAGACCAATGCAGAGTTGTCACAAAAGCTCACCTGGAGGAGGAGGTTATCTCTGTGCTGAGGCTCCTCGATGGTGCAATGACACTGCTTCAACTCTGAATATCCTTACTAAATCTTACTAAAGAAGTCCAGTGGATCCCTGTGTGCTTTGTGTTTGAAATTAGGTTGTACATATGTGCATGACACGAATATAAAAGAAACAGTGGAGGTTGTGTATAGTTGGTTCTGTCTGCAGTGTGTTGTATATATTTATGGCAACTGAAAACATGACTTTATATAAATAAGATTTATTTGATGTTAGGCTGAACAGAAGCATAACAAATTGAATGAAAGTACTATAAGCAAAAAAAAGATTCCAAACCCTCTCAACTCAGTGCTTGGTCTGTGGAATGGTTTTTTGAGTTAACAGAAGGCCTTAAGGCCATTCTGGGTAATGACATTTATCTTAAATAATATTGCTATCTAAAAAGTAGTACTGAAAGAGCCTAGAATGCCAAACTTGGATTTTAAAACCTATTCCAAAAGCCTAATAAAGTTATGATCTGGGAGGAGCAGAAGAGAAGGAAAATATACTAATTTGTGTCCCTTTTAGAAAATCTGTGTTGAGCTTGTAGCCCAGAGAGGAGGTTAAGTTGCAGCTTTTGCATCTGGAACTGGTGTTGTTCTAGATCCATACTTAGATGTAACTTACCCAAATAGGAGGCTCCAGCAAGAGTTAAGAGTGTGAGTACAGAAGGGAAGCAGCTCTTGCTAAGGTCTGAAACTGCCAGGTGCGGGTTTCACTCTGGCCTTTTATAGGAATTTTATTTTTTTTTATGTATCTCCACAGTAACACAATGATAAAGATGTGTTGGCATTCCATTAAGTTTTGTGGTGGAGAGTTGATGTAAACATTGTGTTTTCAGTGTATTTGGCTTTAAAGATAACAGTGTAACTGCTAAATAAGCACTGTGATAGCTGCAGGTGGTTCTAGACTACATCTTTGGTTTGTTTCTTGTTCTCAGCAACACCTGCAGTTAACATAAGAGTTACTGCATGAATAAATTTGTTAATTCACAGATCATATAAAAAATGTCCAGTGATGATATTTGGTTATCAGTAACTGGGAAAAGTGAACCCACAGTTTTAAGAGATCAGGTCATAGGGTGAACCCAAATGTCAGCATTTTTATATTTAGTGTGCCAATATATTTGCACATTACCTCTTAATGCAATTTATCAATCATTATATGCCAGCTGAGACTTTCCTCTGGGTTAAAAGACTGTTAATAGAAATTTGCAGTGATTTTGCTCCATCAGCCTGGCATAAAGACTGTATTGAGATGAGGCTGTAACCCCAGACAGCTGGAAATTCCGTTTTTAAGTGCTGGCAGTTTTGTAGAAACATAGGTTCACACAGCTTCTCAGAGAGGCTTTGGACAGGTCACAAGCTGAAGTCAGTGTGTGGGATCTATGCCCTGTGACAGAAGAGGGCTGTGGGCAGGCCTGTGCCAGCACCTCTTCAGCCTTCAGCAGAATTCCCGAGTTACTTGGAGACCCATCTGTGTTTCAAGGAATTCATTGACGCAAACATGAAGTTTTCTGAAGAAGGAAAACATATCTGACATGGATTCAGAGTAGCAAGTAGTTTTTAAGAGAGACATTCAGATTTAGGAAAGCTTTAGTGGTTTGTATCTGTGCAGGATTTAGGAAATGAAACTTGAAGCCCTGACAGATTATTTTTGGTTTCTAAAACAAACAAACCAAAAAATACTCCATTTTAGAAAACTGTTGTTTGATTTAAGAAGAACTTTAGTTCAGAAATTTATTTCTTTATAGAAGCTGAGCAACATGAATATGTATGCACATAAAACATACGAACAGATGATGCCCTGACTGGCAATATTGCCCATCTAATGTTCATACATAATCATCCTCGCCCTTCCCAGTTCCAGGAATCTTCCTGTTTATGCAGTAATTGTCACAGTATGATGAGACCTTCTTTGTAGGAAAACCTGTTTAGTTATTTTGTTTACTTTAGAGTAATCTAAAGCTCAAGAAACAGTTTAAAATAGAATTTCTAATAACTGAATTTACAGTTGTGAACAAAACTTACTAAACAAAACTTTACAGTTAAGGTGCCATCTGGGAACTATATACAAAGAGTGTTCTAAAATGAACACGAGAAATGCAGATTTATATGAAGTTATGTATGTTATGGGTTTTTTAAAAATACATATTTGACACTTTTTAAATTTAAATGAAACTCAAAATGAGAACACGCAAAATCTGGATGCACTGGAAACACCTCTTCACATTATTGATATTATAACTATACTCAAAAATATAGGCGAGAAAGCAGTATATAACTAAGGGAAGAACTAAATCAATATAGCTACCCACTTGTGCTTTTTAACTGAAAGAAATAAAGAAAATGAATTCTCTAAACATGGATAATCCCTTGTTTGAGTTCTGGCAACTAAAGGGAAAAAAGCTTATAAAACTGAAGCCCAAGTGATACACCATAAGAATGCTTTACAAGTAACTTGCCACACAGTTTAATATTTACACAATCTCTTTGATAAATGGAATTTCCACTAATTATTTACAGATTTCACTACTATTATAATCTCATCCAATCTTTCTAAGACACTCTGCTTATATAAATAAGGATTAGTTGGCAAAGTTAATTATTGTAAAAGAAAAATCATGGCTAAACTGGGGATGAAATAGAGTCTAGAGATTGTCTGTTTGCCACCTTCTACTTGCAGGTGCTGAGGCAGTATTGTTTAGGACCCTGGATATTGCGGAAAGGTCTTTTTGGGAGGTGGCTGTACACAGTGGAGAGACCCGAACTAACCTTGGAAATATAATGCTGGAGAGCTAATTGCAGCAGCATTAAATAATTTATGTGTAATTATTAGGGAAAGTGTAATAATGTAACAAAATCAGATGTCCAGATCTTCGCAGTATTCCTGTGTTACACATATTATCTGATCTATTCCAAATAGGAAACTTTGGTTCTCAAAACATTCCCCCTCAATCATTGAAATGTCAAAATGCTTAAGAGTTGTTGTTGATTTCAACAGGAAATAGGGATGAATTGGAGAGCTGGTCCTATCCAGTTGTTGTCCACTAGTATTTTAGAGTAATTTCAATTAGCTTGAACTCAGACTCAGGAAGTCAAGATATTAGCTTAACTGCACATCAAAATTGTGATCTGTTGGCCTGAAGTGACCCTGCAAGGGAGTATACAGCAGAGGGGAGTGCAGGGCTTTTCCTGTGCTGTGCACACATCACCACTGCATGCCCCCACTTCAGGAACTGCCTGGTACCTCAGTGGCTGCTTTATCTGATTAAGGACACAGGACTACACATTTTCACTAAAGACTTCCTCAATTTTTTTTAAGAAAATTGGTTGACATGAATAATAAGTTCTTTGAGAAGTGTCCTTACATGGCTGTCAGGAGGTCACTAAACAAGCCTCTCAGATGTGTGTGATTAAAAGAGACACATCTGGACTTCGTGAAAAGTATCCTATATGAATAGTTAGAAGAATTAGAAATATATTTCACTAATAACAAAAGTGATTAGTCTGTAGTTTAGAGGTGAAATCTATTTAAAACTAGTATAATTAAAATAGGAATTTTTAAAAAATTCTTTGTGAATGTGTTTGAAAAATCATGTTCTGATCCCACCAGCTCTGGTTATTCAGACAACTGGTGAAAAGCTCTTCAGACAGTCATTCAATTTATTCAAAACCTATTAAATATATCCCTCTTGATGGATGTGTGTGTTTAACTTTCAAAGGTGGAGATTCCTCAGGGAATCCATTCCAGTGCTGCATTATCCTTACTGCTGTCCTCCCAAAAAGTTAATGTGATTCTTCCATGCTAAAACTTAGGCTTATTATTTTTGCTGTTGCCTGTCACTCCCTTGAAGTGCAAATTATTCCTTTTCTCATTCCAGAGATGCATACATATCTAAAGACTGCTATCTTCTTCCAAGACTGCTTTTTTTCCTTCAGGTTAAACTTTTAACAGTCTTTTTAACCTTTCCTTATATGACACATCTTCCCATATTCCAGCTGCCATCACTGCTTTTCTAGATTCTGATTAGTAGCCCACAACTCTTGGGTAAGACCTGGAAGGTCTTGTTCAAAACCGTAAGTGTTTGATTTGTGAAACAATGCTGGTTGTAAGTGAAGTGGGAGGATTAAATCATGCACTGCTTAGACCATCCTTTTACCCTCCAGTTTGCAGGAACTCTAGGGGAGAAGGATCCTCCGCATTCACACACAGTAAATAGAGTCAAGAATCTGGAATTATTTAATGTAATTGAAAAGGCACTAAGCACTGCCTTCGTGTCCTTTCTGTTGGATTACTTGATGTAGAGTGAGTGCCATCTGGAGGTTAGGAAACATGGAGCTCTGGATGCTTTCATGCCGAAAAACAAAATTCCCGAGCTTTACAAATGAAATGTTCTTACATGAGTAGGAGCTTGAGCCTGACAGATACTGGGCATCCACCACTCAGTGTAAAGTTTGTGACCCAGAGTAAGGCATGCAAGTGCAATGTCTCTTGCTCTTATGCAATCACCAGTAAACATGTAACCTCTGAGTGGCCTCAGAGTAACTAAAAAGCTCTGGACAGCACAAGGACAAGGAAAGTCTTGATCTCTTCTTTCCTCTCCTGCTTTCAGGTGTGTGAAGACAAATGAGTTCCTGGTGCAGGTTTCTGCTCACAGGAGAGAGCAGAAAGCATTTCAGTTCAACAAGAAGTTTTAAAAAGAAAGTTCCCATTTTGTGTGTCTGAACTCAACTCTCCATCATCATTTATGTCTGCACAGAGTGGAATCAGCCTTCTTCACCCGGACTGGTTGCATGATGTGGTCTTCCTTCTTTAGGTAACTTAGTTGTCATCTTGGAAACCCTGATCCTCCATTTCTCGCTGTGCTGAGGAAGCCAAGAGGAGAACATTAGAGTTGTGATTTCAGGGGGTGTGACCTGGCTCTTCCTGCTAAAGTGCCTTTTTTTTTTGCCTGAGACCACTTGAATCAGCGATCACACTGGTCACAGTGATCACCTTGTGTGCTGAGCTGCCTTCTGCCACTGAAGTCTCATCATAAAAACAAATTGCTTTAATTGCAAAGCGTGAGTGCACCCATCTCCATCTCAGTCAGGTGAGAGACTGCCTCCTGTTGTGTCAGGCAGTGCTCATGGCTTCTGTGTTGAGCTCCACTTTGGCCTGAGCATGATCCTGCAGAAGTTACATACAGCTTAAAGGACATTGTGTGTACACTCTCCACGCTCTGCTCCTTGCAGATTTTTCCCCACAGAACAACAAGCCATAAAGTTTCAATCTATGTAATGAAGATGCAGTAGCTAAACAGGCTTTTGGTATTGTTGTGTTGATTTAACTTGAGGATGGTTTCCTGGGGCAACCACAGATTTTAGGGACTATGAACCTGTTAAATTCAAGGTTGATAATTCTGAGGGTGTAAGACAGGTTGCTGAGCCAACACGCCTTCAGAGCAAAATGTGAAAGCCTGCTTCCTTGTCAATGAGTTTCCATCAGCTAAACCAGAAAAAAAGCATAAGAGAAAGGAATTTAAGAGCAGCAAATCCACAGAAACAAAAATGAAAACTAATGTAAAAAATATTTGGTCTCCTTCCCTCATCAGGGAGTGGTAAAAAGCACAGAGCATGTCTCATGTGCCTAAGTATTATTCTTTAGAGCAAGTTTAAACATGCAGATGACAGAAGCTGACAAATCCTTGTCTAACTACATGAAATGCAACAAGCTGCTGTGTTTCTGTCATGCTGGCTTTCAGAGCTGAAAGTGCATTGTTTATGTTGCGACTGATCTGAGAAGATCTCTATTAATTGTTTGTTTTCAGAGGATAAAATTCAGGAAAAAATGGTCTTTTGTCTGTAGTACTGTTCTTTCAGATGTTAGTGGCATCCTTACCATAGATTTTCATGGAAAGATGGATGAGATCTGTAGTGCTGTCTATATATGGCTCAGTCACCCAAAATACAAAGAGGATCATCTGTTATGACATTGTTGGACAAGATCTGTTTTTACCCTTGAAAGAACTTGCTTTGTTGCTGTTATATTATTACTGAAGAACTAAGAAATCTGGAACTCACCCTCAAGTTTCCTCTTTCCTGTACCACTGCTGAAGGATTAATATCTACCAGAGCCCTGCCAAGCTCAGTGTTCATTTGACTGCCAGTAGTTTGGTTGGTTGAATTGAGAACTTTGCTTGAAAATAGAGACATAGTTTGGCAGTGGCTTCTGCTCCTTTCTCTTACCCTGGATAAAACAAAGATCATTAATAAGTTTTCAAAATTGAAAGAATTGCTTCTTACAAACGTACAACTTACTGAAATTATAATATCAGCACTTCTGCTTTTGAAAGTGGAATTTAAATGTACTTAAAAATATCATACTGAATGTATATGAAAGCATTGTAGAAATAAATTGGGGGATTTTTTTCCCTGTTGTCTTATGATAGGATAACAGAGGGAAATGAATAATTTTAAAATGTGTTGCATAAAATTATATCTGGGACAGAAGTTACCCTGCTCTAGAATGGTTGTGATGTGGGAGGCTTTTTCTTTAATTTTTAGTAAGTGGCTTGGCTTTTTTAGTAAGTGACTTGGGTTTCAGCAGGATGATTATCTTACAAATTTGCTCCTAGGAGGTTGGTTCTTCCAGTACTTGTCTTTTTGCCAAGTTGTTAGCATTAAAACAGTTTGAACACACATAGGTAGCGGAGGAAAACACTTCAGCTCTTATTTTTCTGAGAGATTATAGTTGTAAAGAATTTGCCAATAAAGCCTAGGTATCCTTCTACTTGAAATATTAGCCTAGCTCAAACTGACAAAAACTAAAAAGCATTAAAAAGTTAAAGTTATGTAAAGTTAAAGTTATGAGTCTGTTCAAAACTCACCATTTGGTCATGGTCCTTAAGAAAACTCAGGTTCTGGTACCTTGAAACAGAAGTTAAAAATACAGTGTCAAATTTTTTGTCTTTAAATAAATTGGTTAATGCTGATCATAACTGCATGTCTGTTCAATTGCTCAGTTTGACACTTACTTCCCAGCTCTTACACTTGCAGATTCCCTGTACTAAAACCTTCTTTTCAGTGATGGAGCCCAAGGTTTTCTTTATTCCCATACTATGTGAGGAGTGGGTGGTTTTTTTGCTAAGGGAAGGTGAGAATACCATATCCACAATGTATTCTGTGTGCAAATGCAAATAAATTACTCGTGTCATGAGTCACTCTAGGTCCAATGCCTTGAGCAAGACACAGCATCTTGTTTTTTAAGTTACCAGCACTTTGCTGGCAAAAGTCCCTGGTTGGAGTTCCCAGAGCCGTACTGATGCAGGCAAACATCCATGGGAATATTCTAGGTAGCTGTGCTAGGAGCACATGGAGTCAGAAGAGCTGAGGTTTGCTCTTCAGCTCTGTTCTATATCTGGTGTAGGACTGCAGGGCAAGTCCTCTGATTTTCTGTCATTTGCATCTTTTGGCCTGAAATGGAGAAAATATCAATTCACCCACTATTGTAAGAGTAGTGTGAGTCAAGAGAGGAAACAGTTCAGTACAGCAGGGTTCAAGGGACACCTGGGTTGACTCTGAACTGCTTCCCTGTGCTGCATCTAAGCTCATTGGACTAGTGTTTAAGCTGTACATCCTTCTGAGCTGAGCTTGTCTCTGCAGCACAGCCATGTACCGTGTGGAGCTAGAAGCAATGGATTTCTGTGCTGCACTCCCCTGTCCAGTGCAGATATACCCCAGGTGCAAATAAAATTGAATTTATGACTGTTTGGTTTATCACTATGTCTTGGTATAACAGCATAGCACTGAGGTTGTAGAATTTTTTGTCTTGATATGCAGCCATTACTTGAGCATTATCTGACATGGGTGCTACTGGATGGTCTAATTAGTGAGAAATGTCATGGTCTCAGGGATTGCCCTACATCTACTTCAAGTCAGACCATTTAATGCATACCAGCCCTTTCTCCATCACTGTTTTTGGGACAGGAATGTGGAACTGAAGGACAGTCCCCAGCAGGCTGTAGGGTAGGTAATTTGATGAATCCATCTTTAGGCATCTTGTTCTCCACAAGCCTGTCCTACCCTTTTTGCAAGTGTTTCTGTCTTCTTAGCTAAAACTGGAAAGCAGAACATGCATTGGATGTGTGATGTGTTACATTACGCATGAAGGTGAGTTTGCACCAGTATTGATGACTGCCAACCCCAGGGACAGGAGCAGAGTCCTTCCTGCTGCCTTAGCTAGGGAATGAGTGTGGAACAGGCTGAGCCTGTTGAGCAAGAGTCTGAGTCTCCCAGCACAACTGGGAGACAGTAACATTGCCCTGGCTTTGCATGTGTCAGTCCTGGCATCAGCCTGTCCCTCAAGTAAGTGGAGCCAGCAAGACTGGAAATGCATCTCTAGGGAAATCAGGACTGAGATCTGTAACTCCTCGGGAAGGCTGAAGGGGGTGAAGGTTTCAGATGATTTTGTTTTCCATTTAAAAAAATCATGAGAGTGATACTCTTTTTCTTCTCTTTCCTGTAGCTTGGACAGTGGGCAGTTGGAAATGGACCTGATTTTACTTTTACCAAGAATATTCTTCTAATACTGATGATGTATACTGTTATGTATAAACATAAACACTTACTCAAGATATGTGGCAGAGACAGGATCTTAATTTCAGGTTCCTTTGGGTCACTGGTGTGTGCACAGCCAAAGCTTAGGCTGTATGTGTGCAGCAGTCTGCTGAAACACCATAACAATGGGGCAAATTCAGTAGATTTACAGACTGGGAATATAAAATTGTATTTTGGCAGAACACTCTGTTCAGCTTCCATTTCAGCCATTTCCAAGAGTATGAGAAGAGCTGATAATATCAGTGTGTCTGCAATAAATTATAAAGCTTGGCACTTTTATGTCTTCATTGTGGAAATCTCTAAAAGCTAAAAAATATTTAGCATGCAGTTCTTTGCATTTCTTTTCAGCTTAAGCCCAGCATACTGGGAGATACTAGTACAGATTTTGTCCAATGAAGGAGAGCAGAGATAATGTTACCCTAGAAAGGAAGGTATTAGGATCTGATCCAAGGTCCCTGCAGCAGCAAATTTTGTTTGATAGTGTTGGCTTTGGACCAAGCCCTAATGCTGTCAGGGTGTATCAGGACCACTGTCTTGATGAATGAAGCATGAACTGGAACAAGGGACTTGCCACAATCTCCTTCCTCTCTTCAGCCTCCACAGATTCTCCAGATTTTATCCTGTTGGACCTGGTCTGCCTGGCCATCCACCCAGGCCCAAGTAGCCATTTGTGCAGTGGTTGTCAGCTCTGCTCGGTTGGGTGCTGCTAGGACACAGAAGGAGCTGAGGCCAGTTGGCCCAGAGGTGTGGTTGCTGTTTGCTGAGACCTAAACAAGGTATTACTCCTGATTCCAGAAGCCCTTTCCAACTTGTCCATTTTGAGACTCACCATATCCCAGCTTTTAGCTATATTGTGACTTCTCAGAAAGTGAAACTTACTCCTTTTTGCACTTTCGAAGTTCCTTCTTTCCTAACTGTTTCTTTCAGCTGCTGATTTGGAGTACTTTCAGAAAAGAACACGCACAGAAACACTGACAGGCAGTTCTCAGCACTGGTTTACTTCCCTCTTACTTAATGCCCCTTTCCTACTGCGTTATGTTGCATCATTGCTTGAACGCTGTTGGGTTTTCATGGTAACAGTGATTTGATAAGAAGTGACTATTATTGGAAGCAATGGGATCTCCAGATGTAACCAGCAGACTCTTAGCTTACAAGGTGATTACAGTGACTGCAGCTGAGATCAGCCTCTATTCACAGTCCTCAGAACAATAAAGTCTGGTTTAACAGCAAAGGATGCTGCAGAGATTGCTGCTGTGTAATCAGGAGGACTTTTGTTGTGTAGCAGAAGCAAAAGCTCCTGAAAGCTGCTGATTTCCCTGGTGTGTTTACTGTCTCTGTTGGAAACATCCAACTGGTGAGTATATACCAGAAAAGGAGCAGAGACTCAGTGTGATGTCTGCTGGGGCCTTGAACTCTTTTTGGGGCAAAAATGTTTGGTTAAAATTAAGTGTTTCAAGGAATCTGTTCTGAAAGCTTCTTATTTTCAAATTTAAAAAAGAGCAATCTGACATCATCAAAAGTCTTTTCTAAGCACTTGGAGAGTTCTGCAGAAGGTATTAAGCAGCTATGAAAAGTTTTAAAGTGACTTTAAAGGGTTATTATTATAAAAAGTGAGAATTTTCAAAACAGTGTCCAAAATGTCAGTGTTTGTCTTTGCAGTCAGCCTGTTTGGCTTCTGTGGGATGAACTCACTTCCTCAAATATTTGTGACCTTGCAGGAAAACAGAGTATTTCAAGTACAAATTTCCTCAGAAATTCTTGACTGTCTTGTTTTTGAGTAGTGTGGATTAGTTCCAGAGTAATTCTATCCTCTTTTTTCATCTTTCTGGTAAATGCTAATGAACTTTGAATCTACTTCTTCAGGGGGATTTTGGCAAATGGATTTGCTTGCAGTATTGGGAAATATATACTGAATTTGGCAGATAATTTCTTTAACAATAGTTACAACTATACAACAATCCAAACTCTTCATGTAGACAAGCTGAGCAAGAAATACTTCTACAAGTCCACAATCATTTTGGGAAAATTATTCTGAATTTGAAGATTGTGATAATATAGCTCACCTCAGACCCCCATATCTGCTTTGGTTTTGAATTAAATTTTAGTGGACTTTTTGTTTGCTTGCTATTTTTTCTGAGATAATTGAAACATGAATGGTGTTTTTCATCTTCTTCAGCCAAAAAGCAAAAGCAGTCATGTACACACATAGCATTGTCATGAAGTGAAGAAATTTAGTGTTTTCCAGCCTGGACTAATAGTTGTCCCTGTTCCTCTCGTGGAATTTGCTTATCCTGTTGCATTTGGTCCAAGCTGGAGTGTGTGCAGCTGGTTGGAGAACTGTTTTAGCAGCATCTGGTTGCTTTAAAAGGAATCTGAGACATTCATTGGAAGAACCAATGCATTAATCAGAGTGCATGGGATTTTCGCTACTGGTCTGTTCAGAAAAGGATGCTGATGGAAAGTCTATTCCTCTTAATTCTTGTGTACAAAGTTCCTGTATCAGATCAGAAATTTAATTCTGATTGTTCTTTCAAGTCAGTTTCTGCAAATTAACAGTAATAACTTAAAACTGGTCATTGTACTGAGGACAGCCTCCAAATGACTACTCAGAGCCACTGAATAAACTGGACAGAGAGATTACAAGCCTGTGTTTTAAATCTGTGCTATTGAGTGATCTCAGCAGACCTGGCACAGATACTGAACTGTTTCCCCTCATTTTTCCCATTCGCCAGTTTAGTATTTTATTTGCTCATTTGAATTGGTACAACTGATTTACTGTGTTTGTCTTTTCATCCTGTAGGTTGATGTTTATTGTGGCTTCATGCCACATGCATTGATGTAAACTAATAAGAACATCTTGATTTTATATGTCTGGGGATATGAAACTTGAAAAATAATTATGAATGTCACTGTCAAAGATGGCCTTTGCTTAGAAGTTTGCTTTGTGATTAATTACTTTGAAAAGCAAGTGTCAGTGCCTGTCATTTTGCAGAACTTGACTGAGGTTAGTCTTTTGGTTTTACAAGACAAATGATGATATGCACTACAAATTCATCTGGCAGAAATATGGTAGTTGTTTTCTTCAAGTCAAAGGAAAAGATGCCTAGAGAGGCTTTCTATAGAGGAAAAATTTCAGGTGTTTAGATAAAACCTTTTTATTTGACCACAAGAGGGTATTGCAGTATCAGTTATGCAAGACTTTAACTGATGTCTGCCTTTATGTGCTTTGACTTATTTTTAAAATACCTATTTCTCAAAACTGATCATTTATATTAGGTAGTAGTTAAGAAAATCAGATTTTGTATGCCAGTATTTGATGTCCTTGTCCAAGGGCAATTTCTGAGTTGATTTTTCCTAAAATTTATAGTACAAGTTTCTTAAAGCTTAAGAGGTTCCTTTCATTGGACAACAGAGACTTAGACAGTTACTCTGAAACACTGAAAAACTTCATGGAAATGGTTTGCAAGGATATATCAGTCACAGAAGAGAAATAATAACAGGAGATGAATGTGTTGCTGCTTTGTCTGGAAGTGCCCATTGGTCCAGGATGGGAGCTGGCACAGTCAGTGAGACTCTGATCTGATTTTTCCATGTGGTTTTACTTGAAGAAATAAGTTCTGAAATCTTTCTTAGCTCATTTGTGTTTTCCATTTTTCTCATTTACACACAGTTCTTCTATAGTATACATCCAATTTTGGTTTGCACGTTTTTTATAACTCAATACTGTGTTGAAGTACTTCCCTACAAAAGTTCTGTATTCTGAACTTTAAGGGCTGTGTTACCAAATGTTCCTGCTATGTTTTTGTGCACTTCAGACCATGGGAAAGGGACCTAGAAGGATTTTTGGATTCACTCACTCCTAGATCTACTGCTGAATTTAGGAGAAGGTGCATGGGATGCCTGCATGTCTCTCAACAAGCTTGCCTTGTAAAAGAAGAGCAGCCATATCACACTATCTGTGAGGATCGAGTTTCTGAGGGTTCTGATAGTGGCTGATGGACAACAAAGCAATTTTCATACAAGAAAGTCTGTGAGTTATTGCAGAGATTTAAGTAGCACACACATTTAAAAACCCGGGTGCAGTGCATATGTTTTATGCAAATAAGAGGCAGGAGCAAAAGCTGGAGGAGAGGGCAGCCCTCTGGAGACCAGCTTCTCAGAGCAGGTCACAATTCAGAAGATCTCTGTCACTTCATGACGAGTGAAGAGTTCTCCATGGAAATCTTTCAGCACAAGCAGTGTTTCTTGCCTGCCTCAAATAGTGGCATTTGACTTATCATCATCTTCCTCAAATGAAGATAAGTCAGTCAGGGCTGCAGGCTGGAAGGAGGGCCATGGCGATGGCTGGCAGAGCAGGCTGTGAGGTGGTCAGTCAAAGGACTCTGAGCACCCAGCAGAGAAGTGACATTTGGCAGCATTAACACAGTGTTTTTTCATCAGCCCTGGGCATTAAGCACCGAGGGCTCTGGAAAGCCTGGAGATGGCATGTCCTCCTGGTGAGCCGTATCTTGGTCTGGCAGGAGCAGCATGCCTTGGGTCTCTGCAGGGAAAATGAAAACAAATCCAGCCAGCTACCACTTTGGAGTCAAACTCCTTTTAAGCAATTTATGCAGCTGATTGATTAAAAGCATCATGCATTAAGGTTTGCTGTGGGTTTCTTAAAAATATACTTATTTCATGTCTTAATGGAGTTCTGCTGATAGACCCTGGTGAGTGGAGTGTCTGTTGCGTTGGCAGCGTACAAATACCATGGGGGAAATGTCTGCTTCCAGTGACATAGTCTGACACTTCAAAATAAAACTAAAGCTGTAGTACAGACTGCAAGAAATCTGTTGTGATTTTTTTTACCCCCTTATAAAGGTTACAAAATATGTTAACTACTGATGTGCAGTTTTCCCTACTTGAAGCAAAAATTATTTATTTGGGCTGGTGTGTGAGTAGGAATTTGAAGATATCTGGCTTTAGGAAAAAGAACTATAAATATATGTAGGGTTCCTCACTGGCTGAAGAATCATTTCAGTTGTTATTTCACATAATTTCAGTCTTAGAGGCCAGATCCTGTCAGGATGTGCAATATTGTATGGAGAAACAAAGTTATCTTCATTAGTCAGAGCTGAGTTTAAGTCACATCCTCACCACAGCAGGGAGCTCTGGTAACTGCACAGTGGAGCTTGGCTTTATTCTGTTCGTCCTCACTGTTGGCTCACACAATTTGTTAACAGGTCTAGGAGAGTTGTGGGGTATAAAGTGGTTGAGTACTTCTGCAGAGGCCATTCTTTGTGCTGCCTAAGCACCCACAGCAGTGGTCTGGCCTGTGAGTCTGGCATGGCCCTGGTTCCTGCACTCCTGGGGTCTGCAGATGCTCACAGAGTCAGCTTACAGGACAAGGAAATTGCTTCACAAACACTACAGAGGCTCGATTTTCCCTCTCTGCTACCTGTAGCACTGTAGTACTTACAGAAGTATTTTGTCCTGTGAATTATGACAACCCAGTTGTGTATTATTATGTGTTTCAATGCTCAAAATGTTCTTCTGCTTTTGGGGTTCTTCTCATTGCATTATTCTGTGGTTTTTACCTGTCTCCTCTGGCAGCTAAGGGTATAATTTATTGATCTGCATTTGGTACACTGAGTGTTTCATTTACCATCTGCTCACCATATTGATAAAAGACATTAACTTTATGTTTTTATGTGAGAAACCAAAAATTCTCTGCTGCAAGTTATGCAAAGTTTTCGAAGCAGAGTACCTACAATTTATTTTAAATTGTGTCTTACCATTAAATGAAAGGCAGCACCTGGCTTCTAAAATGTTCTTCACCTTTGTTAGTTTTGTTGGCTGAGAACTGAGCTACTTCCGCTTAGTTTTTTTCAAGTTAACTGTCAGCATATTAAATTTGAAAGCTTTGTCTGAACATGTCAATCACAAGCTTTGTCTATTTTTCAGTAAGCCTTTTAGCATCTTCATTGAGGCTATTAGTGTGGGTTTCCTTTTTAACTGTAGATGCTAGTGTTAAATCACACTTCAGGCTGATGTTTGTCTATCTCTGACTGTTGGGAATTTGAGAGAAGTTCTCCCTGAAGGCAGGATGTTCCCCTAATTAGATGTAAGGGGGGGTTGTAGAATCTGGTGGCAGATTTCCAGAGATGATGAGAATTCAGGTCTGAAGGGACCCCAAGAGATCTCTAGCCCAAGCTGCTCCTCAGAGCATGAGCTATGAAATCAGACCAGCTGGTCAGGGCTTTATGCTGTTGATCTTGAAAGCCTCCAAGGAAGGAGATTGCAGAACCATTTGGGTAATGCATCTCACCTCAGGGTTGCCATTGTGATGAAGATGTTTTGGCTTTATATAAAGTCAGAACCTCTCCTGTTTCAACTTGTGCTTATTTTATTTCATTCCTCCACTGAACCATGCTCTAAGCAGCCTGACTGTGTCTTTCCAATAATGTGATTGCAGTTACTGGGACTCTGCTCTTTGGTCTCCTCCCAGCCTTCTCTGCTCCAGGTTGGGTAGAATTTGATCACCAGTTGCATTGTCTGTTACACAGATGTGTCAGACCTTTACCTGACCCGCTCTGTTCTCTGTCCTTGCCTGATCTGACCATTTACAGTGCTCAGGCCCAGCAGGGCAGATGCTCCATGAGATCTAGAAAGGAAAATAACAGAGTTATTTTGGAGTGCACAGTCCATTTTGGTATTCTTTTCTTAGATCACCTGCATGATCATGCATACATGTAGCAACCTTCATGTTCTGTTTACAGTTCTAATAAACATCTATGCTGTGGAAATTTATGTCCTGAAGAATTTTCTAAACTAGAACATTAATTGGTTTAATAACAAAAGGATTAATGCAGATAAGTTGAAGATAAATATACATTCAATATTTAAATGGTGAATAATTTTATTTTTATAAAATCTGCCGTTGACCCTGAGATTATCTCAGTTGCTCAGAGCATGGTGCTAATACCACCAAGTTTGTGAGGTCATTCCCCATATGGGCCATTTACTTAAGAGTTGAACTCTATAATCCTTGTGGGTCCCTTCCAACTCAGAAGATTCTCTGAACCTGTAAATTATACATCACAGGCACTCAGTAGGGGGAGAGCATTTTGCACTTATTTACAATACCAGAAAGTACATGATTGTTTTGAGGGACAGGTTCCTGTAATCATCCATATATGACTTCTCCCATTAAAATCAATATTAAAACTCCTCTTGTTTAATGGCAGCAACACCATGTGTGTTTTGAAAACCCAAACCTGTCAGTTTGTAATTTCCTCACTTTTTGGTCAAAGAAGTAGATTTTATTCAAGCAAAATGTCTATTGGATGAAATGGATGTTTTGCTCCCCTCTGAACATCCTGGCTGGAGGGACATCTTCGACCTTTAAAGGGTATGCCAGTAAAGGAAATTTTTTCCTTCCTGCAACTGATTCTAAGACATTGTTGCTGGCAGTACTTTGGGTCTGTTCTTTTCTTGATATGCAAATTGGCAAGATTTTATTCCAAAGTGTAAGCATTACTTATCCCTTAGAGATTTCAGCCATGCTTGTTTGTCCTTCAGTTGGCTTGCCTTCATACTTGGCCAGTGGTGCAGAAAGCATGGTCAGGGGAAGCGTCAGTGTGCGATGGAGTCACCATTTGGGAGGATCTTCTATCTGGTGAGGCCCTTGTGGGTTTTGGCACAGAGAGTGGCTGGAGATGCCGGTTAGGAGGCAGAGTAGAGTTAGGTATGGTTTTAATATCAGGGTATTTGTCCCCCATAGAAATTATCATAAAAACAATAACTACAGGACATCAGTGGAACATTACTCCTGAAATCCAGGGGTAGGTGATCCCCACAGAGCCCCCAGCACAGTGCTTGCTCACCTGCAACACAGATAGCTGCAGGTTTGTGCCTCTTCTCTCCCAGCTCCCTTCCATCACGTGAAGATTAGCTGGGTGAGGGGAAAGCCAAGCTTTTTATGTAGTGCTTGCTGCTATAGAAACCACGAGCTCTGTGACAGCGCTCGGCTGTGTGGGCACAGCCAGCGACAGCTCCCAACCAGGGGACGCTGAAACTGCACTCTCAGTTTTCAGTATCCTCAACCAAAACCTAACTGCCTTCTTAACTGGTGTGTGTCTGTCACTCTGCAACGTGCAGGTCTTTAACAAGGGAAGTAAGATGCCAAATGTCTGAAGCTGTTCACACTGTAAAAAAAATCTACAGCTCCCTGCTATAAAGGTTTATCTGCTGTTTCAAGTCTGTTGCAAGGTGTGGACGACATCAAGCCCTTAGTGATTGGAATTATGGCTTTAACTTTCCCCAGAAAGTCACTTTCAGCCACCTCTGTGTCTCTCCAAATATAAAGAGCCAGAATTAAAAGAGGTGATATATGAAAAATATTGCATCTGCTATGCTTTTCATGACAGTGTTAAGATAAAAAAAGTCTATAAAATTACTGATAGATGTTTCTGAAGTCAGAGGAGGATGGAGCTGTTGGCTGTTGTCGTTCTATTTGGAACAGCGAGAAGAAATGACACAGACTCTCTAGGAGTCAATCAGGAGAATTTCTCTTAGTTTATTACTTCAGGTCTTTTTTATAGACTGATACGTGGAAAGTACAGAAAGGAAACTCTTATAGGTTAGCAAACTAATACATTACCATCATTGGTCAGTGGGACACACCACCCCCCGACTTTCTCCTGCAAAGAAAACAAGGAACAGACAAACAGCACCTGCAAGGCTGTTTTCTGTCTTTGAGGATTGTTTTAAATCCTCCTTATGAATTCCCAGGCCACTTTCTCAGACAAGACTGAGAAAACTTTGTGTGGCCTGCAGTTTCACATGCTCTGTTTCAGAGTTAGCATCCACAGGCTGTGATGGGAGAAAAGTAATCTGGCGTTGATCCTTGGTCAATAGGACAATGCTGCTAATTCTAGTAAGTCTGGCTTTAGGAAAAGAAACAGAACAAGAAGAGAGAAAACAAATGTACAGCATCCCAAAGACATCTGAAGTGCACTATGCAAAAAAGTAAAAAGGAAATTATATTCATGCAATATTTTAAAGCAGTAGATATGGTTGCTTCTGTCTGGCTTACAAGATCTCTGGAGGAAGAAAAAGGGGTCTGCTTCTTTAAAACCCAAGTTCTGAATGTTATGGTTGAGGCAGTATCTCAAAAACATTTACCTGAGAGGCAGATCTGAAAAAAAAACAAACCGTAACCTGATTAGTACAAAAAAACCAACATGGAAGATACAGTACAAAATAAAAAATTTAGAAGCTGAACTTGTTTTGTGTTCCAAAACTTTCTTCTCAGAGGAACTTGTGTCCCACTGGCAAAGTATTGTGTGGGGCAGAGGTGAGGCAGGGACTGGATGGAGACTGGGGAGCTGCTGTGGAGGGGAAAGACAAGAGCTTTGAATGCTGACCTCTACTTCTGCAAGTTAGAAAATAATTTTGCAAGCTTTTGTCTTGCTTTATCCAGCTCTCCTCCTTTCAAACACTAGCACAGGCTATGCTATATGCACAGCAGCCTCCCCTTTGAGGAAGAAATGTCACAGCAAAATGTTGGTGCTTCTCCAGATCCCATTGAGTACCTTCTGAAAACTCAGGGTGTCCTTGAATGTGGAGATAAATGCAACTCAGAACACAGACAGCAGACACATAGGGTTGACAAATTGCATACACCAGCCATTGGAAAGTGCACACTGAAAGAGAGGTGATGGCTCACCACCTCTGCTTTGAAATCAGTATCCAGTCAGGTTCTGCCAGAAGTAAAGATGCTCTGGAAGCACTGGAGTTGATCCCATACTGGGATAAGGATTCTGAACAAACTGAAAAACCAAGTCTTTCCAGAAATACTGCATGATTTACACACCCACTTCTTAGGTTTGAATAATCTAGGATTATTGCTGCCAGACAAACTAAATTGGTGCTGTCATAAGCTCTCAAAGCCAGGCAATAGCAAAACCAATTCAAGGGGTTTTGTTTTCTTCTTTGATTTTTTAGGGCTTTGCAAGCTGTGAAAATGATGAAACACCTAAAACAGTGTGAGAGAAAAGACTGTTTGAGATTATACTAAGTAATCTTTCTGGTGGGAAGCACGCAATTATGTACTGTCAGCACATGGAACGTGATGGGACTATAATTTTACCTATGTTATTTCCCTGGGTTGCTAAAGAAACCATAATAAGAAAAGTCAAAGTCCTCCTGTTCTTATTGATCTTCTTAACAAATTCTCACAAGCAGCATTGACTGTTGTAATTATTTTCTCTTCTCTAAGCCGATATCTGATGTCACACATACCACTGTCAAAGCCAGCTGGTTTGCCAGTGCTGAAATCTAGCATAAAACACTGTAAAAAATGCTACACTGGAGGAAGTGGAATGAGCATATGAATGCTTTCCTTTGCTGTCTCTTTACAAGCTTTATTGATGTTGTCAGAAACAAGAAAAAAAGGCTTCCAAGTCCAAGAAAATGAATCCTTGTCAATTTTAAGGTGGATGAGATGATGATGAAGGTCTCCCTGATGGCTGGCAGCATCCATGGTGTGTTCAGGGAAGAGCAGGAGCTCTTTGGAAACATTTCTTTCCAGCCATAGACCAAGGCAGGTTTGCTTGGCAGCCTTGGGAAATAACAGTGGTGTACCTTGGATGGACTCTGCGAGACACAAGACAGGGAGGGCAGTGACTGGGACCTGCTGGAGGACAAACAGTGGTAGCAATAGGGAAGAAGGAAGCCAGAAGGACTTTTCATCCCTAGTCCCTGTGGAACCAAGCTAAGCAGAACATAGCTAAGCAGCTGGTTGCAGGCTTCCTCCTCACCCTTCTCCTCATTCTCCTCCTCATTTTTCTCCTCCTCCTCTTCCTCCCTGGCAGAGTCCCATAGGGAGTGGAGTCTTTGGGGCTCTGTGGGGAGTGAGGTAATGAGGCCACACCAGGGGAATGAGGGAAAGCTGATCAACTGGCACATCCTGGGGGTGGTGTGATTTTTTTTCCCATTTCCTTTTCTGTCCTTTGAAAAGGGGTGCTGTCCTCCTGAAGTATCACCCATGCAATCATCATTTTTTATCCAAAAAACTGAGTTTACAGATAAAGAGAGTGATGGCTAAAATGAACCTATAAACTGGAGTGTCTGCAAACACATCCCATGCTATTTTTGCAGCCTCTTGTAGCAGCTGCCTGTAGCCCCAGAGTTGGGAAGTTCTGCTGAGTAGCAGATGCAGAGAACAGAGACTTATTATTATTATTGTATAAATAAAAGCCCAAGCAGAACAGAAAGAAGTTTATTCTTTAGAGGAAGCTGAGCTAAAAATTTGGGCTTTGGCTGTGTGACTAGAGAGGTTTTTGGTCATTTGGAGTATGAAAAGCAAGGGTGTTCCCTTCCTCAGATTTTTGTGTTCACTTGCAAAGTCTCTGTCCCCTGTTGCCCTCAGATGATGAGCAGTGACATATGGATGTTGTGGGAAGCTGGGACTGGGAAGGCAGTTCTCTCAGGTCAGGAGAATGCATGGCATTGACAAGTGTAATGCACCTATGGCTGGTCTGCATCTCTGGTTGGGAAGATAAAAAAAAATATTGTTCAGATTTATTTGGGGTGGTGAATGCAAAGCAAGCCTTGGAAGAGGCTTTTGGAAGCACTTGGTGAAAGCTGAGAGGTAGACATGCAAGCAGAAATGTTAAAGTTGGGTTCGTGTCCATGTGGTTGTTTGTCTTTTCTAAAAACTATGGAAAGCACAGATTTTCCCTTATTTTTGAAAGAATTTTCTCAGGCTTAATAGTATGTGAAAAAGAAATGTCAACACCTCCCTGCCTAATTGGCAGCCTGCAGCTAACTTATGAGCCTTTCTTAATAACATTTCAATTATTCTCCTTCATACTGAGGGTGAGTGCAAGATATAACTTCAGTGAAATTATTACAGCCCTATTTTTAATCTCACTGTGCAGAGTAAGAGTTGGGGTGTCAGGTAGCTCTGGTGTTTGGAAATTATGTCTGATAGCCCCAGGAAAGAGTGAAAGAGAGCTGCCCTCTCAGAGCCAGTGAACAGTCATCCCAATAACTACTGTGTCTGAGAGACCTTTAGGGTCCTTTGTCTGAATGGAGATTTGATGAAACTGAAAAGAAACCATTGTATGTAGGTGCTTGGAAGAACAGAAAATATTTTTCTTACTGTATGATATAGTTAATAGAAGCAACGAGGTAACCCCACTGGTCAACCTTCCTCTGTAAATCCTTTCCATCAGAGCTTCAAAAACATCTTGAGAAATCTTTCAACACTGAAGGAAAGTCCCTAAAGATAATCAAGTGGTTTTTGCATTACCACAGTGGCTTCTAATCCCGAGAGCCAATTAAGGAGTGGAAGTGGTTTTCAAATTATTTCCGCCTGCTCTCCTTCCATGCTGGTTTAAGTCTCCTCCCAGGCATCCATACCCACCACTGAGTGGGAAAGGCAGGATGGAATTACACATTTACTGCAAACAGACCTCTGTGTCATGTAGCACATCAAACAAATCATGAGCCACAAGACTGTGGTCAGTGGCTGAAACTGGATCTGAAATTATGGCAGGATCTATCATTAGAGGCAGTTATTACGGAATGTAGACTATCCTCTGCATATACTAT